AACAACAACAACAATATTCTGGTTCATAAAAAAGCCAGCAATATGATTGAAGACAGTCTTCCAAAAGTAATACTTTGCCATTTAGAGAAAGATTTATGTTTTCCTTCAGTTAGTCTTTGCTCTGAGGTGGGTGCTATTGGTAATGCCATAACCACTATACACATTGTGTACCTGGCAACTTTCTAGATTTTTCTATGTTCTGCTTTTCTCTTTTTTTCACATAATCCTCTTATCTTCCTTTCCTTTGATTTCTCCTCATTTTGTGTGCTTGTTTCTGTCAGACATATCTCACATATTTACGTGCCCTTTAGAGTATCTCTGAGTTCTGTTGAAATCTCAGAACCCCTCCATCAGACTACCATTTAATTTTGTCTAATATTTCCTCGAAGGAATATTTCTGTATTTCAATAGTTGATCATTTTCATTGAATTTAAAAGTGCTGTCATGCTATTTACCAAAATTAAGGAGAGTAATAAATGAGATCAAATTTTTGTTGGGTTGGATACCATCGAGTTGGAATCAATCCACAACTGACCTGCTAGTGAGTTTTCAGAGGCTGTTAATTACAGAGGAGGAAATGAAATTACAGAAATGGAAAACTGAAATGAAGTAAACAAAGAGCATTCTGATAGCACCACTTTAAAATATATGTATAAGTTACTTACTTGAGTATAATTAAACATTTTTTCACAAGTGTCAAGAACAACCCAATTTTTATTAGAATGACTCCATTAGAATGATTCATTCCTCAGTTACTGTACAAGTACATGGTCATGAAGTCAGATCAAACTCATAGCAGCCTTCTATCAGTACCTAAGGCTGGAAATCTTTATGTGAGGAAACTGCCTATCTTTCTCCTGAGGAGTCTGTGGCAATTCAAACTGCCCACCTTTTCGTCACCAGCCTAATGTGTCATGTACTATGCCACCAGGACCCTGTAGTTATCTCGGGATAATAACTTTCATTTATCCTTATTTTATCAAGATTTATTTTTAGAACTCTAAATTTTTAGACTTTAAATTTACCACCTGGGGGGACATAATTCCTTTAGTCCTGAAATTATTTCTTATTTGGACCTACTAAATATTCTTAAATTGAACTCATAGAGGAGGAGTTATTGATTTAGTGCCTTAATTTTATTTCCTAATGTATTACAGATAATTTGTTGAAATAAAATTGAAAAACAAATATATGTATTAAAATGAAAATACCATTATATTTTATTTCCAGATAAACTTCGCCAGGTTTTGTGCTTATGAAAATTGTTCTGCTGATTTACAAGTATCTGCAAAAATTGGATTCTTAAAGTAAGTGTAATATTTCTACTATTGATTAAGTTAGAAGAATGAGTGTATATGAGATTGTTCTGCAGAGAGAGAAGAACTAAGGACAACATTGTTTAAACAACAGGATTTAAAGAACTAGGAAGGAATATTGTTCTATGGAGGGAAATCAAATTATTTAAATACATTTCCTCAAAAATAACCACTTTTTCAAAGAATGGAAATATGGAGACTGTGTTAAATGCAATGTGGCATTTATTTCCGTCCTGACTTGAGCTCATCTCAGAAGCATTTGATAGCTATCCACTTCATCTTATGAAAGTCATTTCCTTACCTCCTCATTGTCTCGAGCTCTTCCCTCTAGTTATCTTGAGGCTCTGTGGTTTTGACTTTGGTGGTTCAGCCCTTTCTCTCACTCTCATATTCCCCCAGATGATACTACCTTTAACAATCGCCTCTCCTGGCCTATCCACACTGCTGCTGCCCTGCCCAAATCAGTATTTGAGTTTCTTATCCACATTTCCAATTTCTGTGTCTTTGTAGGGTCATGTGGTTTCCACCTGTCCAGTATCTATCCATTAGTTATCAAAACCTGAAACCTAAAATTCAACCTATTTCATTTCTCTTTCTTGTTGCTAACATCCAAGAAGTTACTAAGTACTACAGTTCATGACCTTAATTTATCTGTTACCCATGGTACTTCTCTACCTCTACCACTGTTGCTATTATGTACCTTTAAGTAGGAACTGACCCCTAGCTTATCCTCCAGTGGATTTTCAGAGACAGTTAAATCGCAAGAGAGGAGATTTCTTACCTTTCTTCCACGGAGCAGCTGGTAGATTTGAACTGATTGCCTTTGGGATTGCGGCACAGCTCCCTACCCCTAAGCCACTTGAGTTAGGCCCTGAGTATTCTAAGTGGATTACTAAGTTTCCCCCTTGTTTCTGGGCTGCCTGTTCCCATTTTGCATTCTTCTGTTTCTCTACAACAGTGTTTTCTCAGTATGCTTTCTAACATGCACATCTGATAGCATCCAAGAGAGCTCATGCATCAGTGGTTCATCATGGACTTCAAGTTAAAACTGCTCATTGATGCTTCTTACAAGTTTCCCAGGACTGGTGGCATAGACAGTTAAGCACTTGGCAGCTAATCAAAAAATCAGTTGCTAACTCTGAGGTGCCTCAAAAGAAGGGCCTAGAAATTTACATCCTGAAATTCAGATGCTGAAAATCCTGTGGGTCTTAATTCTACCCTGATGGACATTGGGTCTCTATGAGTTAGTGTCAATTTAATGCAACAGGTTGTCTTTCCTTCTCATTTTTTCCTCATCCATGGCAAAGAATTTAAAATTACTTGGCCTTGTCATGCTTTCCTGAGAACCTTTCATTTCACTGCCCTTTCCAGATGAAGCCCTCTTGTCTCCAGCCACATAACCCCATGTACCTTTCACTTACTCTCACTGGCCATGGTTGAATGTGTGCTTGCACACTTTCCTGGTGAAGTTAGCTGTTTCAGGACTGATTCCTATCTAGTCATGCTTGTTTTCCCATGGAATGCTATAGGTGACTAATAGGTGTTTCTTGAGAATGTGATGAGATCTTTCAGGAGCTTGCCTGTGAGGGGGCCAAGCTCACAGCAGAGGAATTAGCCTTCCAGAGACATTAAAGATCGTCCTTCACTTGGGTGGTGGAAACAACTAAGATTTTGGCTACTCAAGAAAGGTCTGGTAATTTACTTCTGAAAAATAAGCCACTGGAAGATAGAGCGCAGCTCTGACCCGACACATGTGAGAGGGTCGTGATGTAGGATCACTTGGACAGCAACTGAGTTTTATTTGCTTGTTTATCTTGAGATAAGAAGCTATAAAAGATGCTTGGCATTACTAAAACATTTACGTGTAAAAGGAAGAAAAGTTCTTCAATGGCCATGGTAAAAAGTGAGTTCATGGGCAGAAAGTGAGGGCTTTGGGGATGGATTTCAGAACTTGAAAAGAAAAGGGAAATGCAGCCGACAGAGACCGATACAGTTATCATCAGCCAACCCTTCTCTCCTATCAAAAATACAAATGCCTTCATTTACCGTTATCTCAGGCAGTGTATATAGGTTAAACTGACTAAGGAACTTACTCTGTGCAGTGAAAAAAATAATAATCCTCTATTGCTTAGTGTCTTATAAGTTTAGTTCAATAGCTTTTGAGGAGCAGAGTGTTTGTGTCAAGCCAGGCCTTCCGGCTGCCTGTTAGTTTCAGCAACAGGAATACTGTTCTTGGTCAATACAGTTCTGTCAATGTTTTGAGACACAATAAAGTTATAAATAAATATTTTATTTACATTGAAAAAAATAAAAGGGAAGGGAAGAGGTTCAAAATGACCACTGAGATCAATGCGATGTAGAGCTACACAGAAATGAGTCAAAATGTTGGTGAATCATGCCTAGTGCCCTGCTTATGTGAGCTCAGTAGGTCAAGGAATAAATGAGTTCTTTGCAGTTAGGCAAGGTCAGGCCAGCTTGAGCATCACCACTTGTGGGCCAAGAAGCCCTAGTCTATGCTAATGAGAATTGGACTTTTTCTGTCAAATGGGCTGCTTAGATGGTCTACTGAGACCACAAACTACTTTCTATTCCAGTAGTGTGTTGGTGACTTTATTGATTTATTAGTTGAATAATTTATATCCCTCCCTTTTATGTATTTATGTTCTTCCTGGGACATTTAGTTATCTTGGTATTTTGATTTTCAAGGGTCTTTGATAAGAAGGATTATGTGTGGGAAAGCCCTTCTGAGCTTCCTTTCACTTTCTTAATTAAATACTGCTCCTGTCACCTTTGTTATCTTCAGTTGAGATCTCTCTGACCTATAAAAAATGGGAAATTGAGAGTTCTAGGAAAAAGAACAATTCTTTCCAGAAAAAGTGAAGGGGAAAAAAAAAACCCCCACTCCAGTTTAGTGAATTAAGATAATTGAATGATTATAAACTGTGAATTATGATTTTTTAATTTATTGCATGTTTTCTCATAGTAAATTTATCTCCTCATTTTTTAATTTGATGTGATAGTATTTTTGATAGTGTACATCTTAAGCCCATTATGATTTTGACTAACGGTCAACTGAACATAAGTTAGTGTTTTTCAAAGTGTGGTCTGTGTATGCTAGATAAACATTTAGATACTAAGACCTAGTTCATCAGATTCAGAAGCTGTGCACACCAGACCAAAAGTCACATGTGAGCTTTCAGTGGTTCCTAAATGCTTCTAAAATCTGAAAATCAGTGTTGTGGTGGCATAGCACTTCACACTGGGAGACACACTTACCTGGGTTCACATTGCGTGTCTGCCGTCCACTTGCCAATTGACATCTTATCTTCTAGAGAAATGAACCTTTCCGCTTACTGGGCCATGTAGTAATACCTTCTCTGTAAGGCTGTTTACAATGGTGTAATGCAGGCAACACTCACGCCAGAACTCACGAGCAGTTACTACTCTTGGTTGATACATTATGGTCAGACGAGAAGAAGCCCTGTTCGTGTGGTGGCACAGTTGTTTACCAGGAGTCTGTGATTAGAGTTGACTAGTTGCTTTGTGGGAGAAAGATGTGGCGATCTCTTATGGTTGAGATTATGGTGTTGGAGACCTTCTAAAGCAACTCTTGTCTGCCCCATAGGGACACTATGGATCAGAATTGACTCAATGGCATTTCATTTTTTTCGCTTGATGGTTGGAATATTATAGATCATGATAAAGTTATTTTTAATTCGTCTAGAAAATTAAATCTTACCAATGGTTTTTTGTTTTTTTTTCAATTGTTGTGCAGAAGTACTGGTTATTTGTCCAGAGCTTATTGTTTCATTTAGAGAATGCATTCGGTAGGGTCAATGGCTTTCAGTTTTACAAAGTTTGAAGCATAAGTGTACGAGTTTGCAGGAGTAGGCATGCCAGCTTTTGTGCTGATTAGGAAAATTATAGGCTGTTGCTATTAAGTAAATATTAACTCATTTGAGAAGTTTTCTATTGAAAGCATTTTTGATTGAGTATTAGACCCACTGTGAAGGGCCCCAATAAACTCTTTTACCTTTTTAATCACTTGGGCTCTGTCACATAAAAATAGTCTCAGTCACATAAACATTCTCTCCACCTTCTCAGTAAAGGTAGGCAAAATATGACCATATTTTCCTCTCTTTCTCCCAACTGTAGTTCTACTGGTCCTGATGGTGTTTGTGTGCCACAGAGCTATAAATCTGTCTCAAATATATGTATTTACTTAGCAAAGAACTTGAGTTTGTGAAGACCTCAGTAATAGTCTGCCTACAGCATGCTAAACAGTACTAATGTTCTCTGTCTTGTGTTGTCATTGAGACTTTCTTCTGTATATTTACATTCCCATGATAATAAACCATGTTCAAATGGATGTCCACTGCAAAATAAAGATGAACAAGCATGACTTTATCCAGATTATAAACAGTTTTACTCTCAGTTAGCCAATTCAAAGAAAATATTTCTTACAGATTATTGATATAAATGGTACTACTCTTATTTACCCCCAACTTTGCTTTCTAGGTAAGTGATTTGGGCTCTTTCTAAGTCATTCTTTTCACACCACATTAGAATGTTTTGGGATACAAGTGACATAATCACTATTAGTGACTTGAACAATAAAGGTATTTTATTATTTTGCATATTAAGCAGCCTGTGCACATTTGGTCCGGCAGCTTGCCAACAACCAGAAATTAATGTTTGTGCCTGCAGTTCTCTTGGCTATTCCTCATGGTGACAAGATGGCTGCAGTAACACCCAAGTTCCAGCTTGGTAAGAGGCGAGGGTAAAATGTCATGTCTTCTCAACCTGTCTTTTCAAGAGAGGAAATCCCTTAGTAGACTTCTTTTCTCTCATCAACCAGAGGTGTGTCACACTGACCCCTGAATCTATCCTGGTTGAAATGGAATGAGGCCTTTACAATCCTATTAGATTAATCACAAGTCATCCTTGAAGCTGAACTAGGAGCCTGTCTAATGCAATACCAAGGGATTGCT